TTCTCCCTTGTTAATGACAAAATCTAGAAATGACAAATGCACCAAGGTGGAAGGCCATCATAATTTAATCAAATTCTTTTTTTTTTACTTGCTTTACAAATCAGGGAAAAGCATTTTCAGTCATAAATTAACATTTTTTCTGCCATTTTTTCTTTTACCTTTTATTGTGTTCTTCCAAAAGAGGCAATGCTCAATGGTTCTAAAGAAGACAGTGATCATCACTGAAGAAGTTTATCTTAATAAATTTTTTCTGCTACCTAGTATATTATGTTAATTAATGGTTCTAAAAGTGTTGGGATTTAGGTGACATTTCTATCTTGAAGAGGATCTTGTGTTCACACTTAACTATCATTCTAGGCGTAATCTTGGAAATCTTTCTATATAAATATATTATATCTTTCTCATAGCATGGTATGTATGAGAGGGGAATTTTTTTTTCCTTGCCTGTTTCTTGTTAAAAACCCTTACCTTATCCATATGTTTGGCTCGTCCTTGCTTTCAGTACCTTTAACATATGTTGCTCTTATAGTTACAGAATACCTAAGATTTTGAAGAAAGCAATATTGGTCTCGTAATTCTGAAAGAGAACAGTGAAGTGGATTTTGAGGTAAGTGTGCCTTCCACTCCCATTATCTTCACTTGTCTAAGTTGCCTCATGTACCCTGCCATTCATGCAAAGGTACATACATCTCTTACATAGAGCTATATATATTGATGATGCTTTCTCATTTCCTTGTAGGTTTTAATGGTGCACTCATAATAATCATTTGGATTCATGCTACCAAGTTTCCACATGGTTAATTTGACACACATAAAACAGTCTTTCAATTCTAAAACTGATTTATTTCAATTTCTAAACTCATGTATGACATGATATATTATCAAGTACTTAATTCTACAAGCCACTGGACTATTTCATTTTATTTTTCTTGATGCATTTATTTTATTGTGTAAAAGAGAGTATTTGCATCTTTTATTCAAAAAGGAGCTATTCATCTTAATTTTACAATCAAATGGTACTCTAGTTTTAGTGAGAAGATTAGTCAATGATAGTTTTATTCCTCATGTTATTGTAAACTTGACCACTCAACCTTTAACATTATCATTTTGTATTTGGGTTTGAATACCCTTTATACTCACATTAATAATATTTTTGTTAAAAAAAAAACATTTAGAAATTATGCACAACTCAATCAGCTTTTAGTAACATCTTCTTCTGTTTAAAATGTTAGAGTTGATTGTGGGGGTGGTTGTAATTGCCTTATTAAAGCATAAATGGCACACTTTGCAACATTTCCATACTACAGTTTAGGAACATGTGTTCGGATCCCAAATTCCATTTCTCCAAACTGCAGCAATAGCAAATATCACATGCGTGTAG